CCTAAACACCTCAAAGAGAACAGTCTTACACCCTCTGTAATCATTGCCAATAAGCCTCAAGGTCTCTTCTATTCTTGGATGTTTCTCACAACCGAGATTATATCCATTGTAGAAGAAAACCTAGCACCAAATTCCTACGAGGAAATAAACTCTATTAACCCAAGGAAATATAAAATTGTCTTTGTCAATTTTCCTTATGCATTTGCCTTTAGGTAGTACCAATCGATAGTTAAAGGATCACAAAACACAAAGAAAACCCAAAAGAATTTCTTTATTTAGATTGAGTTAAAGAAACAGAATCTGAAACCAAAACACACCAAAGAGAACAATTCTATTCCCTCAGTAATCAACTAAACACACTTGAACTTGATAATATAATCCTTTTGGTAACATTAGGAGTGTTGATATGTGATGCAGAAACCCTATGCAAATGGCAGCCATGTTGATTATGACACGCGTTCAGGTTAGCCCAATCTACATTATGTTTTATTGTTTTCGATTAGGTTATTCTTTCTAACTATTTAGTAATGCAGCACGATCTGCTTCTCCTCCTGCGCCACCATCTGATTCATCTATGCCCCCTCATCCAAAGTCATACATGGATGTAATGTTCTGAAACCTCTAAAGTTTTCTGCAGAAATCATGTGTTTTAATTAATGTTTACCCTTCTGAGTTCCAAATAATATTTGTAACATTTAGTTGAAAATTGGTGATGCTGCAGATTATGTCTATGATCCAGAGAGGAGAGAAGCCTTCGAACATTCGGGTAAATTGAAAACTTATTTTTTTTTTTCACACCATTTTTAGACTAACCTTATACACAATCTCATTGTGACAAACTTATCGCACTTTCATGTAAATGCAGGAGATTAACGACATGCCACCCAATCCGAATCAACAAATATCAAATCCTCGCATCGCTCCTAAAACTAAGGTATAAACTGAAATGTCCCTGAATGTTAAACCAATTATTTGTAATGAAATTTTGGTTGATTTTGTGGAACTGCACATTTTATTAGTAGGATTTTCTTAAACCCATGTTGTCTCATTGTTATTAGCCATGGGATTATGGTCAAGCGCCGCAAGATGAGAGTTCCAACGGTCCATGGTGGCAACAAAAAAACCCTAGATCCACAGATTTCGGCTACGAGACAACAGCGTCGCATGTCATCGGTAACCAAAACGAAACAACAATGGAACCAGCAGCTCTCCAGAGACAGCGGTCATGGGTTCCTCCACAACCACCTCCAGTTGTTATGCCAGAAGCAGCTGAAGCCATTCGCCGTCCAAAGCCACAAGCTAAGATAGACCAAGAAGCTGCTGCTAGTGATGACCAGTCAGGTGTGAGCGACGAGTTACAAAAGATCACCAAGTTCTCTGAATCTGGTGGTGATGGATCAGGAAGAGTGCAGATCACAGAGATACAGGAAGAAACAGAACAGCAACAACAACAAATCAGCCAAGAAGAGAACTAAAAAGAAGAAGATAATTAGGGTTTCTTGATAGAACACATCTCCTATGGTACTTTATGAGGTTTGTTTGCTTGTAAGAAAACATGTATTTAGGTTTTGGGATTTAATCACCAACCTTAAATTTAATAATAGATTTTAAAATAGAAAACAAGTCAAAGCCTTGTTACACAAGTAAACTCAGTCATTTGTTTGCTTGCCTTATTTTAAATATATCGAAACTTCTATCATACAAAGAGTAGAAAGAATCATTACCATTGCTAGTATCTATCTTCTAAGCTATAACTATAAGAGAGACTGTACATAGACAGAGTTCATATTTGGTATCAGGCAACACAAAGAGGAGAATCAAGATGAAGCATTAGTGAAGAGCCTGTAAGAAGAAATCAAAGCGCTGACCGCAAACGCTCCAAACGCTATAAAAGAAACCGCAATGGATGCGGTTGCCATCTGAGTAAACTCATCTTTTCCCCAATTCGATACCCAATCATCAACTCGAGTCGCAGCACACGAAGAAGCCGACATCAGAAGATATGCAAGAAGCTAAAGCAACCGAGGAAAAAAGCTCATCAGAATCAATATGTTTGATATTTTACAAATGCTAAATGTTAAAAGCACTCACTTGATCCATGGAGAACACGAACATGTCGTGAAATCCACAGTTTATCATATAAGCCTCTTTAGCGATGTAGCAAGCAGCGTCACAAGCTTCAAATGCAGAGTAAACGAATGCTATAACGTTTACAGCTAAACAATACCTGCAAAAATTTGTGTTGAAGGATCTGATTAAGATTCTTCAATCTCTAAAACCCTAAAAAAAAAAAAGTGTAGAGATCGATCGAGAGACCTATACTCTTTGTAGCGATCATAAGAATCGCCGCTCCAACCTTGAGTTTTATCAGCAGCCATGATTGAAAACGAAATCACACACAAAATTACTTCGCTTACTCGAAACCCTAGCGTCGCCACACTCACCATATCGTCTCGTCTTGCTCTGTTCACCGTCGTAGCCGTTTCCGATTCTCCGCCGTTCGTCGGATGTCCAACTTTGCTCGTCGTGGTCTGTGGACCTTCTTCTCTCACCCAGCGATTGAACACAACCATAGACGACGGAGACTTATCGGAAGATGAATTCATCGGAGCCGCCGCCCTCGCGTTCCTCTGACGCT